CGTCTTCGGTACACATTTCAATTTAAGACAGCTGCACATTGTGGGAACGCCCACGCCATGGAAGTGGTCTGTCACTCGGTTGGCAGGCAATTCGTTTAAAAGCAGCCGGCCCTCATGGCTCGTCTATCTTTTGAACAGCAAAAACCATTGACAATTTGCATAAATAAACCATTTTACGTTATTCTTTTTTCATTCCTCCATTGACCCCTTTTCTTCGCTGCCTATTTTTTCAAGGATTCTTACTCAGCAGCACGATTGAGCGGCAGTTAATATTTTTGCCCTTTTTTGTGAGCCAACAATAATAGCTGCGGCAACAGCAGGACACAGATTGCCATGAAGGGGCCGCATGGAGCGTAGGAGCATTTTTAGGTTGGCCTTTTCGCAGACGATGATGTGCTGTGAGATTTGGGCCCCAATGCTGCCATAACTCTGAAGAAGCCGTGGCGAATGAAATGGATTGGCCATCAAGCGAACAGATCCTTTTCAGTAGTTCCCAGTGCTTGGGCTCCATAATCGCTGGGACTTAAAGATTTTCGGCTGGAAAAGGCAAATAAATTGATTCTCCTCGAGATAAGATAGCACTCTCTTATCATGGTTTTTCATTTTCCACCTTCTTGATGTCTTCATTCCATTGTGACCACTTTTCCCGGATTGTGAGGACCATGATTGAGAAGTTGTTGGCTTTGGAATGTTTGCCATTTCATTTATCAAAGTGTCGTTTTGTCCGGGCTCCTCGAACCTGCCATTTCTGCGACCTGTCACGTATAACTATTTCTGATTTCAGACATTAAATCATTGACAGTTGCTTATGTTTTCAATGGCTTTTCTATTGCATGTGAAGGGAAGACTCCTTCGCAGACCTACTTGAATTATGGTTGGGCCATTTATTATTTCCATTTTGCCTTTTTTTCAGTTTTGTTTCGCCTAAGAGGCCGGAACGCTGAAAGCTAATCTATTTTAAGTGGCTGTAAAGCATTCAAGGATGTGGGAATGCGTTTGTGTGAGTGTTTCTCTAATGAAATGTAGCATAATATTTTCATTTCGTCCTGGACATGTGTGTGTGTATGTGTGATAAGCGTGTAAATCCCCAAAAATAGCCAAAGACAAGCACAAATCCCACATGTGTGTATAACGAGGATGCGGGAAGCGAGGAGCGAGGAGCGGGTAGCATTTGGTGGCGACCAGTGACCATAAATCCGAGTAAAATGTATTTTGACATTTTGCACGCAAAGCGTGTGGCAGAAACTAACTAAGCGTGCTCGGGATTCCCACAGTGCTACATGCCATACACGCCCCGAAACGAAAGGTCATTCCAATGATGACGAGAAAGGACATCGGGCCAGGATGGCTGGCCAGGATTTGCCATGAAGTGTTAACATGCGATAACAGCGGCAACGAATAAAACACAATGAAGCGCAACTGATGAGGATGCGGTGAATGGGCATTCGAATGGGGGACCTTGATGATGCCTAATGCGAAAGGAAAGACCCGGATCCCACCCGAACGAACCCATTCCCCTTTCCATCCCACACCCAATTCCCAAGCGAAACTGAAACACAGACCACAAACGAAATCAATCTTGGTCCAGGCTTCAGTTCGAGGCAAGTAAATGATGTGAAATGGCTTGAAACGAAGGATAAGGGCGAAATCAATGACTGTATTTTGTTTTTACACTTTTGTATCTCAGCCCTGAGTTATGAATTTCAAAATGGAAACTAGCAATCGAGTGAAATGATATACATATTAATGTTACTTCGAATATGAGAAACAGCATGGCAAAGTAACGTCCTAAAATTGTAAGCTTGGAAACTTAAAATAAAGTAATTTATCTCCGCATGACATGAGACGTTTTTTTTGTTTTTTAAAACAAAAACATTTTAATTACCTTTTTTCCTGGGGCATAAAACACTGACTTTATTTCATAAAACAGCAGCAAAAAAATTGAGAAAAAAACAAAAAACAAGTTGGAGCGTTTTGAAGCTCTTGCCAGTAAACATTTTTTCACGCTCATAAACTCGACGGAAAATTGTTTGGTTTTCCTTGGTGTGGGCGAGGGGTGTGACACATAAGGGAGGTGGCTGGCTGGCAGGCTGGAAATGGGAAATGGGAAATGCGAAGCGGAGAGTGGACGAGGACCAGGAGCAGTTTCCGTGGCCACCTTGGTCGCACTGTCACGGTCATAAAAATGTGCAAAGTATTTTGTATGGCGCTACCTTCTTCTTCGCCCACCAAAGCTAATAATAAGCGAGGGTATGAAATGGTTTTAATGCATAGAGCAAGAAAACAAAAAAAAAAATGTTTATAAAAACCATTTTCTTGTTAAGTGGACTTTTGGACTTTGCATTTTACTGGCTGGCGCCGCTGTTCGTTACGGGCAACTGTTTCACATTTGCCTTCATTGTACTCAAGTTGGCGCGTAAATTTAAATGAAAGACAATTTTTTCCTGGCGGGCTGAGTGCTAAGCATTTCCGCGGACCCTGGCTATTTTTCTCGCATTTCCGGGCATGCCAGGCCGGACTTACATAAGGCTTTAAGCGGCAGGGCCTGAATCACACGTAATACCCGTGCATCAAAGATCTGAGCATGACGGATGAGAATTTATGTATTCAATTTGGAGGAGCATTCATTTAAGGCAAATAGGATAAGCTGCGTGGAATAAAATTGCAGGCAATAGCTTGACATTCGTGCGACCGCAATCTGTAATCAAATGCAGTTTCCTTTTTTAATTGATTAATAATATTATTTTGCTGCTCTGCTGTCGCCAGCAGGCTGGGCAGAAAGTGTTTTTTCAATGAAATTACTCATACGCCGGGTGTACAGCACATATAATGCGGATATACGAGCTGTTCTGGCACTGTCATCTTTTTGCCGCAAATTCAATTTTCGTATGGCATTTGTTTTGGCTGGACATGAAAAATGGTCAAATGTTTTCCTATAATGCGATTTTCTTAACGTTTTCTTTTATGTGTTTGTGCTTAAGTGTGAGCCGCTTGAAGAATGCTGATTGAAATGTCAAAAAAAAAGGAACAACATCGGATTTGTCCTTTTTTCATCAGCATTTTTCCTACCCAGCCTTTTGTTTGTGCGCTCCTATTTTATTCCGGTTTCTGGTCCGTTTTGTTTCGTGTTTTCATCTGATTTGATTTGGCTTTCAGCCATTTGTTGGCCAGCACTGTTTTGTTGGTAAATTCTTGCACTTTAATCAAAAGGAAAAATAACGCTCTGGCTAATCTGCTAAGCGTTTTCTGCCCCTTGGGAATCTGTTGTTATTATTGGAGCCCTGTGGAACACAGAGACGCACTTAACGAATTACTCATATGACAGGATAACTGGATAGTGTTTGGTTGCCGGCAACCAAAGCCATGAAGTCCTTAGCCGGGTTGTCATAACCGGCCAACAAAATGTAACTTAATTGGGTTTTTGTTTGTAATTGAAACTGAAAACTAAACTGCACATTGTCCGGCCATCAGCTGCACACAGTGTCCAATTTTAACTTAATTAAATTCGAAGCACTTTATATGCCGCTGTTTTCGGCAGTTGCCGGCGCAACACATACCATCCTGTCTGGCATCTCAAAACTCCACATCCCGGCACTCGTGCCAGTGGTATTGGTGGGTCCGGCACATGCCTGGCCCACTTGCTCGCTTTTGAATATGTGTTCTAGCTGCGATTCGTGCTCAGATATCCGATGATGTTGCACTTGGAGAATTCCGGCGTCAGTAGATACAAATCATACCGAGAGATTGCACTTAAACATTTTAATCCCTTATTGCAACAGCAAATTATTACGCAAGTAGTGATAACAATTTAAGCGGACAGTATTTGGTTTGAAATGTACCCATAACATGACAATATCAAGTGATAAGAGGCATAAAACACAAGGAATAATAAGAGTTAAAATGTATAAAGTGCCTCTTATAGGATTCTATTTGAAACGAATTGAGAAACTGTGATTATTCTGCGTGCGCAGTTGCCTGTTGCCTGCGTTTCAAAATGCGATACAACATGCCACAACAATGAAGCGAGTCGTGCAGCAAGCCGTGCAACGAGGCGTATGAGTGTTGACTGCCGCCCGAGCAGGATGAATTGGGGCGGCGGGGTGGAGCTGGGCTGTGCGCTTGGCTTATTATGCTACTGCATGCAAGGCCGCACCGAATCAGGACGAATGACAATCCATTGTCGCAGAAAGTAAACCATCTTTTTACCGCTTTGACACACAAATAGTGGTGAAACTACCTTGAAGGGAAATGAAAACTTTACTGCAAATAGTAAACCGTAGGGTGAATTACACCACTTGGCTTTATTTATGGGCAGCTACTGTACGAGTGCCTTTATGGCCATGAGTGTTGGCCAGATAAATATTCACATATTTGCGTGCACTAAAATTTGCAAAACGTGCCATCACCAACGATTGCACTTGATGTTGTTGTAGGGGTCTTGTTGGACTGGCCTCAATTGTTTGCCTATTCATAGGGCACACAAAGAATATCAAGATTCTATAGACGATGTCTTTTCCTGGCCATTATTTGACTTGCTCCCATTGCTCCTGTTGTTTATTTACTTGCCCGATTTCGGACACGAAAAGGGAAAGACAACTCCCTTTTGTTGCTGTCCTGCGCTCATAATGTGTTTATTCGTAGTGTTTGTGTAATAAATGTTACCTTTTTGGCTAGAAAAGAGGTACACATAAAACAATATTAAAACAGCTGACTTGATAAAGCTCATGCGCGCCCTTGGACAAAAAGTAAGTGAACTAAAAATAGCCCAAATGGTATTTGCTTTGTTTGTGGTGCAGACCTTATCCTTCACTTTTGGCCAAAACATGCTGGCAGGCAATTCGGAGGTGAACTCTAATTCATTTCTATTCCGTTCGGCTTGGCATTGCATGCAACTTTCGGTTTTTTGTACATTTTTTGTGGCGCTCTTCCGACTTCATACTACCTTATCGCGCTTTACAGCAGAGCGAGGCGATAGCCTCGAGTGGCTCGTAAATAATAAGAGGTGAGAACACAAATAACTCACATTCGCAATCAGGCAGTCCGACACCTACGACATGAACTGGGCTACAATAATAATTGCAATTATCCTGCTGCTGCCAGCCAGCCAGCAGCAAAGGTAACTATTTACTTTGATCAAATTACAATCAGCTGCAATAAATACGCTCAAACCTCTATTAGCTTCGGAGGTCTGCCACGCAAAGTGCTGTCCTACAATCCCACATACGACTTCTGGTTTTTCGTGCCCTCTGGCAGACCCAAGGTGGTTACTCAGAATGTACAGAATGCTTACTGGGCTGCCCGGACGAAAGGAGGTGTTTGCTACACAGATCTGTGGTTCTACTGCCTCACTGGCATAGAAATAGAGGAGTAAATATCTGCAATAAAATGAGCCCAAAGGTTCATTAAAAACTAAAAAATAAATAAGCTGAAGTATACACGAAAACTCAATTCTTAACTGTGCGCTTTATCGGGCATGTTAACTCACAGGTCGTAACAATGTAAATACTTTGTGTTATCTTATTTACCTTGAAAGGTAAACTTTTTCGTAAGAACCAAATTCTCTTCATATTTGCCTTAAAGAATCAGCTAAATCATGTCAGATACGACTACCTCGACTATCAGATACCCATTACTCAGCTGCAGGGAGTCTGCATGCAGTAAACAGCCATGTTTTTCCTTATCAGCTACAAGTGCCACCTAATGGACTGACTTTGACCATCACTCGTTAGACTGAGAAATGTAGCTAGGAAGAAAAAGTGTCTACAGGGTTTTGTCATTAGTTAATTAATGAAAACAATTTCTGAGAGTGTGGAAGTTGCAGTTTTAGACGTAGTGGGTGTTAGAGTGGGTTTTGCCAACATAAATTGCATAAAAACATATAATAAAATTGAAAAAATTAAAATAATTTGTAAAGTTGTGGCAGTGAAAGATTTAGTGCAAGATTTTAGTGGGAAATTAAACAAAATGTAAGCTTGTATAAAAAGTATTACACTGCAAAGCTACTAATTTACACGTTACTTAGGGACAGTCACGTTTGGCTTGGATTTTATATGAAAGCTGATAAACACGTAGATTGCAGTTCAGTTTAGGTTTTAGGTTTGCACAAAGTTATTTTTCGCGCATTATTTTCCCAGTTGTCTCTGCTCGACCTCATTTCATCACTTTCCATTTCCTTATACATTCTATGGACATGTATTCTTAGGAGGAAAATTGAAGTTGCAGTTGGAATTATTATTATTATGTTTACTTTGGCTGGGCTCGGACCAGAAGCGAACAAAATCAGCAGAAGCAGACATTTTATTGCAGCGCCGTGGGGCAGGAACTGAAATACGAGTATAGTCCTTTTTGGAGAGGCGAACTGTGATTCTGTGTACATTTGCTTGTATACTGCTTCCCAGTAGCCAGTGTGCACTTTTTTTGATTATTACTTTTGCGCTGCATCACGCAGAGGAAATGAAATATCAAATAATTTATGAATCAAGGCGATTCCAGACTGCCACAGATATGAAACTGGGCGAGCCAAAGGAAGCCGCATCAAAGCAATGCCATTGCACTGCGCAGTCAAATTTATGATGAATATCCTTGCTACATGGAACGCAAAACTACGACTGTATCTGTATGCATCAGAAAGTCAAAAGTGGAAGTCAGTTTGATTGCTCATCCTCTTCCTCAGCGCGATGGCATTGTTTGGTTTTGCAGAGACTGACGAAAACTTTTGCAACAGCAGCATGAAGTGCGTGGAAAATGAGTCATTTGTTGTAGCTGCTGTCAGTGCTGCTTTCGCACAAAAAAGCAAGTCAAAAGTGAAGACAAGTTTCCGACAATTCCCGAAATCCAGCTAAGAGTTAAGCCAAAGAAAACTAAGAAGTTGGCGAGCAGTTTCTGAAGTTTTAAGACGAGCATTCTGTTGCATGTTATGTTTAAATGCATCACTTCCCTTTCCATATATTAAGCGTGAATCGTGCGGATTCAACTGACTTGCTGAGATCCCAAAAGTGTGCAACGCCTTTTGACATCACGCATACGCCATGTTAGCCAAATGCTAGAAGGATGCATGATAACAGTGCACTGCAGTGGGGAAATAAATTTGTCCATATAATACAAACGAGTGCAATTTATTTTATAATTAAGTTGGTTCGTCTGATTCCATGCAAATAAAATATTTGCTAGCAAACATTTCCCTAACTAATTGACTCGATCATAGGCATCGGCATTGGCAAAGTTTTTCCCACAAACTTGTCATTTAAACGGCATGGAATTTTCCACAACCCAGTCGCAAAGTTTTCCATCACCACCAGAGACAAAAAATGAAAAAATAAACTTATTCCAAACTAATCAAATTGTCATTCTGGTTTTAAAAGTCCGTCCAACTGGGAAAACCAACTGCCAACTAAATGTCTGCAAATCAAAACATATTTTATCGGCAAAATATCAAATATATCTTGGGGCCATTCGTACTAAAATAATCTCTGTTTCTACTCTCCTTTTGTTTGCCCATATCGAAAGCAAATTGATATCCTTGCCGCGTGGATGAACAATTTTTACTGGCCAACATTTTCAATTTATTTCGGCAGGTTTTTCTTGAACCAAATGACTTTCTGCATATTAAAACAGCTCGTTTAAACGTGTTTTACCAGCAATCAGTGACTGTATGTAGCTAAAATGGGTTTTTTGTTTTCATTTCTCATTCTAACTCTGACCACATATCATACGACTTCATTTGCCTAAGCTTTGTACTGCTATTGGTTTTGCCTGGAATGCATGGCAAAGATTGTTTAAGCACTGTTTCACGTCGGTATCGTGTTTAGACAACTTGCCTCATAAATATTTATGAGTATTATGATGCAAAAATGCTGCAACATAATCAAAACGCTGAACGGAGCCAACGAAAATGCAGGGAGGACAGAGAAAACGAGCGAAGTAGTGAAACAACCAAGAAGCAAAGCTCAGTGCAATCAAATCAGCCAAAACGGGGTGGGAAAACCGCCGGAGGTCCAACAGTAGCACAAACAGCCACCCGCATCCATCAGGAGTGTGAAAATTATACACCGCCGACAATAAAAGACAGCCAGGACATCCACTGCAGCATCCGCACCACTGAGTGCAAGGGCTTCCACGTCTCGCATTTCCTCCAGGTTACCAGGAGCAGGTCCTGCGGGGCGGGTTATCTCGCAGCTGGTCATCTTCAATGTGACAAATATGCAAAGTACACAAAAATTACGAGGGGCGGGGGTTACTTGTGCATTGATGCAGGGAAATTGGATTTTTTGAATCGCAATTTATGGGAAATCAGCAAGCGAAATTCGAGCCATTCGAGTTTAAATTCTATTTTTCAGGGATTCTTTGGAAAGCGAGCACAATGCATCTAAAGGTAACGAATAAAAGACAACTGAAACTCTACACAAGGAATAACGAATTTGTATACCCATTACTCGTAGAGTTAAAGGGTAAAACAAACATTTTATTTTGGATTTTACTACATGATAGTCGAGAAAATCAATAACACTGCGCATTCCCTTTTAAAATTCTGCACATAAAATTAAAATAAAAACCACATTTAGTGTCATTTATACAAAATTAAATAAAGTGTTTATAAATGAAACAATATATTCCATTTTATTCAGTCTTTAGTTGCTGCATTAGACCTAATATATTATTTTTGCGAATAGTCAAATACTCACGCAAAAAGTGGCGTTTAATTAGTTTTTAAATTAAAGACTCTCGAGCTACAAAAGCGAAATGGACCGAAATGAAAATTTTATCTCTGGCGAAAATAAATCGCTCAACTCATTCCTCCTCGGCACCTTTATTTTCAATTTCCACCCATAAATAGCCGCAAAATGCTGGACAATTCCCATATACGGCACTATACGTGTGCATGTGAGTGCGACGGGGCACGGAAAGATGGTCCTCACGGATATTTATTCCATTACCGAGGAAGTGACTTTTGTTTTCTGCTGGTGCACAGCAGCGGCTGTCTCCGCTGTCCACAATGAGCTATTGCCCTGTGCCCGGCACTGGAAGGATGAGGATGTGTGGCTCCTTTTCGGGGCTCCGTTTCTGGTTACCATTCATTTCGCACACGGAAATTTACGATTTACACGTATGCCAAGTGCAATGGCAACTGCAAATGGGAATTGGGAGCAGCAGGATTGGGCGAACACGGCTGTCGCAGCTCTGGGCGATAATGGTTTGCCAGGATGCGACTGTTTTGCTTGTTGTTTGAGTCTGCTGGATGCCGTGCAAGATGCAATCGATGGCAAATAGCGTGGAATGCAGTGGCATCCTCAAGTATATGCAGACGTGCTGAGAGCCCGAACAATTATTGCCCAGGCTGACAACAATAAGGGTGTTGGCATTGAAATTCCATTTCATTGTTGTGCAGAAAGCAGCAGCACTCGTTCCCGATCGTCAGTTTGTTTACACAATCAGCAGTGTTTGCATGGCCAATGCGTTTGCCTTGTTCTCCTTTTCAGCAGGATGAAGCCAGGACCACTCTTTTGCCTTGGCTGCAGATTTTTGATTTATCGCAACGCACGTTGCAGGATTCAAATCGGGGTTGTTGTGCTGCAGTGTTGCTGTGCTGCTGTTGCATGCAAATTTCTACTCTGTTTTCCTGTTTTTCCTCCCCACAGCTCTGCGAGACAAGCAAAACAGCCACAAATTTTGGGTTCTTTGCGGGAGAACAACGTAAAGCAGCAATTAGAAGGAGAAGGGGATGCTGTTCGATTTAAGCCTGCCTCTGTTTGGATCCAAGCAGGAAATGGGGCAGAAAATCATATAATGGCTCTTTGCAGAACATTTTAAGGGCAGCATTATCTTTTGATTAACGATCTTGGGAAGTAATCAGAAGAGGCCAGCGTTACCGCAGCTTGCTGCAAGACCAAATGGCATTGGTCCTTGGCTTTTACTTTGATTTTCAGTGGCCCTGACCTCCCACCTGCCAATACCCGACTGTCATTAACAATCCGAAAGGTGTATTTACCACTTAGGTTCAAAATGGCCAGCATGCAAGAAAGCAATGCCCTGGCAAGTGCAGAAGTAGACCCAGAAATAAGGGAGAAGAGTAAACTCAACACACTTGGGACGCCAGGAAGTCATGCAAATTTTTGCTGCTTTTGTCTACTTCTCTAGGGGATGTGTTTGCCCTCCGGAGTCCTTGCAGCCATGTGTGTGGGCAGCTTCTACCTTATTTTTCCCCCAGCTGCTCCTTGGTTTTGGTAGCTGCCATCAGGTGGACCCTTGGCTGGTGGCTCGTTTGCCGATGCGTATCATGATTGCGGCACTTGTAAACAAACAGCACTGGGGAGCTGGGGCCACCGAGACAGAACAGTGACAGCTGATGGACCGCAGAATCAATATGCATTTGAATATGTTGCTGGCTCAGCGGAGCAGCTCATGTGCCATGGATGTTCGTGTCCTTATGCCAACCGACGAACACACAACTT